CCCCCCGCCACAAACAGTGGCGAAACTTGGAGAGGCCGAAAACTGCATTTTTCTGGCGGAAAAAGGGTCTTGGTTCCATTACATCGCTGCCGCCACGTGCGCTGTGGTTTCTGTCCCGGCCTGCTCCCCGGACCGTGGCGGATGGCGAGCTAATGGAACGGTGGCCGCCTTCTCTTCACCATGTACTCGGACTGGAAATCACTCCAGGTGCAGCTAAAACTTGCCAACACTAGGGGACAACGCAGGTCGACTGTCAGGATGGCTGTGTCAGGGGCAATGGCCACACAAAGCATTTCGCGGAGGGGTGAGGAGTAGAGCCTCCACGAACGGCCGTTGCAGGCAGGGGAAATGGAAAGCCGTGGCGGCACATCGCCAAGTGATTTCACACCCAAATTCTGACAGCCTCCATTTCGTGGTTATTGGCGATGCAGTGGAACCAAGTCGCGTCCGCCATGCGTGGCGTGGCGGATGGCAAGTAGTGGAACGAGGCCCTGACTTCGGGCCTGCCATTCCGAGTGCCGGCAGCTTTGCTTCCTGTACCAACGAGTGCGGCCCCGACTCAAATGCCACGTCACACACCACCAGGCCTACTCTCAGGACAATACTCACACTACCTTCTTCCCCCGGATACAACGTACTGTCATTATAGCTGTATCTAGACTGAAAGATGCCTCAAATACAGCTGTAATGACCGTACGTTGTATTCGGGGGATTTTCGACTCAGCTCTGGTCGTGATTGCAGTCATGTGCATCCAGCTCTGCCTGTAAAAAGTGACTTTTTCTCTATTTATGTGTGTCATTCTTGCACAGGGGGGGGCCATTTGCTAATTACCCTTCTCTGAATCGATCGAATTTTAACCAACGTCGCCGAAGGACTGCTCTCATTGTTTCTCTCCGTTCGCACGAAGTGAATCCCACAGCACTTCCCCCTTTTCTTTCCTTTTCTTTCCTTTTCTTTTCTTTTCTTTTCTTTTTTTTTTCTTTTTTTTACACTATGTTCTTCTCTCAAATTCGTTTTTCTCCTTTCACTACCTTCCCACCACTACTCCTAAGACTACATAGAGCGGACCCCTGGGGAAAGGTCCCACTTGCGCAAATTAGGAGATTTCGGCCGTTGATCTTTGCTATCTATGGTCAGTATCTCTTAAACCACCAGTTCTTGGCCCAGCTATCCGGCGCGGAAAAAAATAGAGTAGAAACGTTTCTAGTTGGATGAATTTGGGCGCTCCCGTAGTGGCCCGTACTTTTCCTACAATTGCGTAGCGTTAACGCTACGCGACTTTAGGAAGTACTGGTGGTTTAATTGGTGCAAAAGGGACCTAGCCCCTGCGAAGCATAGGGCCTCGCAAACGAGGTAATGCACGTTGCCCCCTGCCCCAACAGCCATAGTCAGAGATGGGGTGGGGCCCCCGGTGGGGGTCCGGCTAACGCAAAGACCGAGCATTTTGCCAGTAGCTGATGCAAGTCGCAGCTTGTATTATAAAAGTAATTGAATGAGGCCGGGGGCGAGGTCCCACTAGCAAAGAAGATTGGATTGAACGCCTGAATCTGGACTTGTTTGTGGACGAGTGCAAAAAATCGAGATTGAACTCCTTTTCTGCATCTCTGCCTAAAACACGCCCAGATTCAGGATCTTAATCCAATCCCCATTGCTAGTGGGACCATTATTCGGGAATCCCTTCTCAACATCTCAACCCGGTAGTGAAGCTTGGGCTGGAAACTGCCTTTTCTCTTTTTGCCTTTTGTTTTTTATAGCCGCCCCATGGACCACAGATCAGATACTAAGCTGATCAGAACAGATACACTGCACTTGATCCGCGGTGGTCTATCGGGCCACTACGGAAAAAAAAAAAGGCCGAGAAAGGTTACCATTTCCTTTTCCCGTTTCGTGCTCTTATCACCGTGAATCTGCGACATGCACGGGCGCTTTCTTCAACTTCGGGTCATCACCGCAGCACGACGTAGGCTTCAGATGCCTTATTCACACGATGACCGTGGTCGTGATTGCGGTCATATGCATTCCGCTCTGCTCTCAAAAAATGCAAGTCTGAGGGCATACTCACACGGGGACCTATAATCCCAAAAAAAAGGGGAAAAGGCCGGTCACACGGATCTACGAAATCGGCAAATGTACTATTCCAGTGCCCATTTTTCAGCGATTAGAACAAACCAAACAGGGACAATCGAAACAAGTCATACAGTTGAAGAAAGAGGAGGAGAGAGAGAGAGAGAGAGAGAGAGAGAGAGAGAGAGAAGGAGAGAAGGAGGGAGAAGAAACGTAGTTCGAGTCCCAATGTTCCCAAAACGCGACTGTGGCTGTGTATGAATATGGATGTAAATACGCCGCCAAAACATCGGAAGAGAACCATAAAATCTGGCGCGGCGGATGGGGCCGTGTGACCAGCCAAGCACCAAATCCCCATTTCTCGAGACGGCCGCGATCTTGTCCCATCTGAAAAGGTACAGCAGTGTGACGTGAACCATACCCAAAACCTCAAATCGGCCCATCCCCAAATCCGCATGCTTTGGGTTCGCCGTGTGAGTATGCCCTGAGTATGTTCCCGCTGTTTCTGTGCGCGCACAGCCCTTTTCCTTTCTCTTTCTTCTCTCCTTCCTATGGGCCACGCCACACCACTCTCGAAGTGTCCAAAAGACAAAAATGTGGCGGGCACATCTCGCCATGTTCTAGCGCCAAGTTCATTGTCATTTTGCACATTTCGAGAGTGCTGTAGCTATGCCGTATGACACCCCTAACCCGTGAATGAATCTCAGGTAAGCTCGTCTTGCCAGCAGGATAACTCTGCGCCCTGGGGTATGGTCCCACTAGCTAAGGGTATCGGATCGAATGCCTGCATCTGGACGTGTTTCTAGAGAGGTGCAGCTTATCGAGATTGAACTTCTTTTCTGCATCTCTCCATAAAACACATCCAGATTCAGGCATTCAATCCGATCCTCTTTGTTAGTGGGACCTCGGCCCTGATCAGAGGATCCCCAGTTCAGCCAAAGGACTTCCAATCCTATTCCGATTCCATAGCCTTAGGGCCAGATCCCACTACTACTAGCCCCTATTGTTAATTTCTGATTGTTGATCTTCGTAATCGAGGGTGAAAAATGAATAATCCAGGGTAGTGGGATCTGACCGTCAGAACTGCCCCCTCTGTCCCTCTCCCCTCCCCCTCGTCGTCCCTCCCTCCCCCCCTCCCCCCCCCACACACACTCACTCAACCACTAACCCATCCACTCGTTTTGCTGCAACCGTTGCAGGATCGCTTGATCATCCGGCTTGGGGACTCTATGAGTGTTTGCGGAGGTGTGCTCGCGCAGAAGTTGAGCACAGGCGGGCTGAAAACTTCGCTCTCAGTCGAGTCGTCACCGGCGATGGAGAGGTTGCTCGATCCGTTGACGGCTCGATTACCGACGAAGGTGTTCCCTCTGCAGAGAGTGATGTCGGCGTCGTAGATGAAGAACCGCGCAGCCCCTCCCAGTCCTTTGGCAGCAGAGTTGCGCAAGAACTTCGTGCTGGCTATGGTGGACCGCAACCGAGAAAAGGCTATGGCGCCGCCATTGCCTCCCGTCGCCTTGTTATCCAGGAATTGACAGCTGCGCAAATGAATGTTGCCTTTAACGAACTGAACGGCGCCGCCGTTTTCTTTCGCCACGTTGTTCTTGAACACAGTGTTCTTGAAAACGGCACTGCCGTAATCGGTAGTCTTCCGTACAGCGCCGCCTCCATTGACGGTCGCTCGGTTGGCCTCGAACATGCACCCGTCGAACTCGAACCAGCCGTCCTGGTACTCAATCGCTCCTCCTCCCTCCGCTCGATTGCCCTTGAAAACGCAATTTGTGGCGGTCTTGTAGTTCCCCCCGCTAGAGGACACGGCGGCGCCCTCGGTCGCCCGCATATTTCGGATCTCCAGGTTCGTCAAGACGAAATTGGTATCGGAGAAGACTAGTCCTTGGTACCGACCCTGACCGTCGATGGCGCATCGGCGGGCACGTGGGCACTCGCCAACCAACGTCAGCGATTGCCGTGTCGCGACTTCAGGCAGCGTACGTGTCAGAATAACGTCTTCCTTCAGCACGTATCTGGTCACATTGGCGTTCAATAACGCCGCCACTAGTTTCGACTCCGACGTGGGAGGGGGGGGCCTGGTCGCCGCATCCACTTCCCTGAGCTTCACTTCGCTGGATATGCCGGCGACGAGCGCAACCAGAAGCCATAAAACTCTCATATCCAATGTCATGAGCGACGAACGACCTCCTCCTCCTCCTCCTCCTCCTCGTTGTATCCTTGGAATTGGTCCTCCACTACCTCGACTTCTCCTACACATCCCGCCATCGCCGGTACCTCGGGCTGCCATAGTGATCGTCGCCATCTCCACACTGTGCCTACCGACCCACTATACAACACCGCATTCGAAATGCAAGTGACACCTCCGCGGACGGGACCGGAGAGCTGAAATATGAAATATATACCTTTCTCGGCCTTTTGGCTAAGATCAAGTGTATTATCTGTTCTGATCAGTTCAATATCTGATCTGTGGTCCACCGGGGCAAAAAAAAAAAAAAAAAAAAAAAAAAAAAGGAAGAAGAAGAAATATGAAATACAGTTTTGGACCCGCCGAACGACGCACAAAACGAAACGAAACGAAGCGAAATGTGAAAACGAAGCGAAGGCTCACGGCCGCACTACCCCCTCTTTCGTCACATTACTACAAGTGGCTTCGTCACATTAGACGAAACGAAGCAAAGGCTCACAATACAGATATGAAATACAGTTTAGCAAGACATCGTTGTTGTTGTTGTTTTCCCCAAAAAAATTGGACCATTTCTCGATTCATGCGTGTCATGCTAATATTCTCTGTATCGTTCCAATTTTTTTTCTCTTTCTCTATTCTTCTCGATTTATGCGTGTCATCCTTGAAAGCGCAGGGGCCATGCTAATCTTCTCTGTATCGTTCCAATTTTAACGGATGTCCCGAAGGACTTCTATATTCTTCTCTCGACTTCTGTTTTTGCCTTTCTTTTTTTTTTTCTTTTTTTTTTTTTTGGAAAGGTTGCATCTTTATTAAAAAAGCTTGCATCTTTATTAAAACAGAAATCCTTGAGCGAGGCCGGGGACCTCACAATTCAACCCAGAGGATAACAATTCAACCCAGAGTTATCCTGGCAGCTTCAGCCAGTTTAGCTTACGAGCCAAGCTCAGAAGAGCAAACAAATACTCCGTTAATCGCTAATCTGCTAGGAACCGGGCCCAACGTCCCTTCCAAGAAGGACTACAGCTCTCCAAAAGTAAACATTTGAAGCTCTGAGTAAAAAAGGGGGGGAGGCTCTCTTGAAGCCCTGTGGTCTAGATTCCAGGAAAGGTTGATAAACTCACAAACTAAGATCAGACCTAGAATCAGACTGCATGTGAAATACAGATCAGTGAGGACCCACCAAGTAAACTGAGCACACTGAACGCCCTTGTGGCCTCACTTCAAGCCTCAGTCTACTTCTACTGTAATCTCAGTAGAACCCTTTGGTCTAACATGACCAGGTTAAGATATTTTGCTACCAGGATGCAACCATTTGGAGATCAACAGACATTCCGCAGATTCCTCTGAGGTGACTGATGCCCAAACGTTGTTCTTCGACCAGGAGGTAAGAAAGCTTCGGGAAGCCCGGCCTTGTCTGTCCTTAGACAGTCTCCAGTCTGCACGAATGGCCAATCTGATTTGCTCCTTTACCAATGAAATCTGCTGCTGTATGTGGAGCGTTTCACTCCTGAACACTCTGGCATTTCTGGCTTTCCAGATTATGCTCATGACAGCTCCTCTGCAGACAAAAGCAATGTAGCTCCAACCCGAGTTGAACTTAGGCCCTTTGGGGTGAAGAGCATAAAGGATCCAATCGTCTGTCCATTCCCATTCATCGCCCACCATATTCTGCCAGTGCTGTTTCCACCAGCGCCATAGCTCGTTAGCCAAAGGGCATTGGAGCCAAAGGCGAGTGCTCGTTTCCCAGCCCCAATCGCACCTCTGGCACTTCGTGTCAAGTGGCCGGCATGGCCTGTAGCCCATTGGATCCCCGCTTGTTTTTGAGATGGCAGCTTTTTCAAGATCTTCCATATGGCTTTGAAGTCCGGAGGGGATCGCAGACCCACGATTTGTTTTTGAAATCTTGCCAAGGCTTGGTCTTCAGGCTTCGTTTTGCTCGACTGCTGCTGGAAACGTACCGCTGTCTTGGGTTTGTATCGGATAAGCGGGGTGGGATGAAGACTTCTACTGTCCTTCCAACCAAAGAGCAGAGGTTCGACCTTATAGTCCCTTGCCTCTTTTTTTAGGACCAAACACTGTTGTTTGCAACTACTATCCTCTACCCTCGCTTCTTCCATGCCTACTGTGGTCCGTACAGACTCCTCTTTGTCCCACACGAGAAAAGAGTCATCCATTGGGAAGTTGTTCGCTACCCAAGTTTTGACTTTCATCCCTGCCCCTTGGTCCTGGCCAACTACACGAAGTATCCTTTGTGGATGAGTATCTGAGGGATGAAAGAGCCAAGTCCCCACTCCATGCTCTTCCGCTGTATTAAGCAGGGAAATCCATTGAGTTGGGATTGCCTGTATAATCTGAGAGAGATTAGAGACCACATTGCGTAGCCTGGGTAACTTCCTTTTTATCTCAGTCTCAGACTTCCAATCAGAAGAAGCTACATCCCACAGGTCTTTAATTTGCATGACACCCCTTTCCACCCAACCCTTGCCAAAATCCCCCTTCTCCTTGGCTATTTGAAAGGAAAGACCTTTACTATTGAGCACTAGCGGGTTCTCAAAAATGAACTGATTCAGTACCTCAATTATGGTCTCCGGTGGCCTAACTAGTTCTGGAAGAACTTGTTTCCATGCAGAGAGGATAGAGGACCAGATTCTTGATTTGGGTTTCTTGCTGGCATAGGCATTCAACATAATAGCTCTCCATACATCAGGTTCGACCTGTTTTTGCCTTTCACTACCTACTCCTAAGGCTATCTAGAGTGGACCCCTGCAAGCATAGTTTCCTCTCACTGTGAAGGGGAATTTTTTTTTTTTGGGAAAAAGCGAGCAATTCCATTCAAATATCAAATTTGAGGCCCAGAATTTCTCACAAACAATGCGGATCGACGCAGAGGACTGCTGGGGATCCCAAGCACCATACATCGGGACGAGCCCCAAGAACTCACACGTGTGATGCACAACCTCACGCCCTTGTGCTGTCTTTCGTTCGGAGTGCTAGATGTGCGGAAAGAGGCCCAGAAAAACAGCAAGATGGGGTGTGCCAAGGATTTTTGGAAATTGAGTGTGGGGACACGGATGGAACTGAAATCCCCCGTGTTGGTCCGATGAAGTGCATCGTTGGTTTTTCGCGCGTCGCTAATTGCGCGCGCGGAAGTTTGGCACGAGGAGAGCGAAAAATACAAATTCAATCCATAAAATATTGTCGGACTTCCCACCTGGCTACGGCCCGTCGTTTAGAGCGGAAGGGCTTTGGCACGCTTCGCGTGTCTCGTTTTCGTATAAAATCCCGATGTCGTTCGCTGGTCAGTTCCGAGTCTGACGTGGATGGTCTCAGTCGCGTGGCTCTTTCCTCATCTTCACTCCGTTTTCGGTAGTGGAAGCGCTTTGCTTCGTAGCGATCGAAACGCTGGCACTCCGTGCACAGGGTTCGAGACCAATGGGGCGCCACTGCCATCTACGGAATGACGATCAACTCGTTAAAGGGGAGCAAAATTGAGTAGAGTGGAAAGCGCATTTCAATAATGACAAACCCGGCATCCAAAACCCAGAGCAACGATTCTCGGGAGGGAAGTAATATTGTCCTCCGATTCGTGCGACAGCTTCTCGTAAATCCCACTCGCATACACGTGCCCTTTCCCAAGTCCGCATATTTTGCGGATTAGGGGTCGCCATGTGAGTATGTCCTCACACGAGGACCAAAAGACCCTAAATCACAAAATTTGAGTCAGTTTTCGGGTCACACTGAAGAAACCCGCTACCCAAATGCCTCAAACGGTGACCCTTTTGTCGGCAGCCTGTGGGGCCGTAGGAGGATCCTTTTTGAGACCACCTCCAGAGGTGGTCTCAGATGCCCTCTCGATTTTTATTTTTTTTCAATACGAAAATCGTCGACAAAGCAGGACTTCACTTCCAACTGTCAGGCGTGGCTGCACTTCTCTCCACATGCACAAAAGACAAATGAGATGGCAATGTATCTTTCCATGTTCTAGCTTCCAACTGTCAGGCGTGGTTGCACTTCTCTCCACATGCACAAAAAACAAATGAGATGGCAATGTATTTTTCCATGTTCTAGCGCTGGATTCAGTCTCATTTTGCACATTTGCACCACAGGGCCACGCGCTTTCGTTTTTTTTTGTTTTCTCTTTTTTGGCCCATGCATTATTGTGGCATGAAAAAAAGAGAAAAAATTCATCTACTGTTTTAGTCCTCTGTTGTGTGACTACACACACTTGCCCAGAGGGCGAAGTGTCAGGGCCGCGACTTCGTCCTTTCTGGACACGAGGACCAAATGTCCCAAATAGGCCGTCCCAAATGCCTCAAATTTTTGAGACTTTTGGTCCTCGTGGAGTATGCCCTCATTCGTTTTCTCACGTCACGTGTGTAGGGCGGGGCGCGAAGAAAATGAAAATGAACTTCCTTGGAAAAAAAACGAAGTCCTTCGGGACCCCAACCCTATACCCTAAACATTAGGGGCATGGATCGTGTGGACGGAGCGAAACAGAAGTCTGTTCCAAGGGAAGATTATGCCAGATCCTGAAATCAAGGCTACTTTCATTGTTTCAAGAAAATGGCACGAAGAATCATTCTCGCGGACTGGAAGCGAAAAGTGTCAGGAGGTCTGAACCGACGGGCTGGCCAAACTTGGTTCAAGGAAACATGGGCGATCAACGGAAAACTGGCTACAATTGAAGAGGAGGGGAAGATGAAACTTGCAGACTGGTTAAATTAGGAGAAGGTTGGGATAAACCAGTGCACTCGGTTCTAATTCCGCAGTAGGAAGGCAGGAGGGAAGTGGGGTGAGAGAGGGCTACAATGACTCGGAACGGAATTAGGTTTCAGCCATCGTTTAGATGGAATGAGAGACTAAGGGTTGTAAGAGAGGTGGGGTAAGGAAGGGTTAGGATCAGGGATAGGATTTAGATGTAGGGTACCAATAGTGGGAGGTTGGGGCTAGTTGGCAGAGGGAAGGGTGTAGAAGGGAGATAGGAGGTAAGTTGTAGACGGGGAGTGGGAAAGAACGTAGGATAAGGCTAACAAGGGAACAAAGAGGTAAACTTTGGTACAAAAAAATTGAACAGGACGGCCTTGTGTCGTGTGTGACGAACTACTTCCCGAACCCGTGCTATCTTTCGTACCCCTTTTTGCTTGTATCATA